TCGTCCCTTCCCTCCCGACAGGCCACGTAACAACTTGCATCACCACCGCACAGCGCCATCTCTCCCTGAGAATAAACCCAATAAACACCCTTCTTGTCTCTGAGGCCTACTTCCCACCACATTTTGCTATCAAAACTCTCGATATTTCCATAGAGACCGTGTTTTTTTGTTTGCCCCAGCCCCCTGTCTCCCCACCACCCCTCGTTTATAGGCATAAAATACACTGTCTGTCTGCCTTCCTTCCCTCCCACCTTTTTGTTACATTGGTGTAAAAAATGTAAAACAAAAAAATTTTATGAAATAACTGTGGTGTGTGAAAGATAGAAGAAAAACTGGAAATCTGATTCCACGTGTGTTTGGGAGTTGCTTGGGGTTTGGGTTGGGAGGGACAGGGGACAGCTCTGGGAGGAAGGAGAGGTGGCCCTCAACGTCGTCCCGCCAGCCTGGCCCCTGTCCCGCGGAGACCACACGGTGGGGGCGCGGGGCGCGGGGACCTGCGGACCGTCCTGCTCTTCTGGCCAGGTGCTTTTCTGTCAATTTTTATGGAATGCAAAAGGATTTTTTGTTTTATTTTGTTTTTTTGTAAAGCTTAAAAAAATCTACATCTTATACTTGAGCTTCCATACTTAAAAAAAAAGGAAAAAAAGAACAAAAAAAATAAATAAAAAGAAACTGGGACGCAGTTAGCCCTGGCCTCGTGTTCTTTATCACTGCCTCACTTCCCAAGCTTGTGTGGGCTCGGCAGGGTGTTGAGCAGAGGAAGTGGGGGCCTGCATGGTGAGTGAGGAGGACGGAAGGGGCCCTTGCCGGGTGCCCCCACTCTGAAGAGCTGGGGCCACTTGAATTCACTTCAGGGTTGATGAGGTGGGGGCTGCTCCCGGTCCCCTTGTGTCTTCTCAGCAAACACCTGCTGTGCGCAGGCAGGTCCCCGTGTGTCCAGAGACTTGCACGGCCCTCGGGGATGGAAGGAAATGCCTGGGACCCCACAGACCTGCAGTCCTGGTTTCTGGGCTGATACCAGGGTGTCTGGCCGGGCAGCTGGGCCCACACCTTGGCTAAGCCCCTCTGGGTTGAGGTCCCTGGATCCCTGTCTCCTTGGTCCCAGCTTCTGTCTGCTTGATCTGATGAGAAAGTTCCCAGATGGGGCATGTCTCTGTTGAGTGTGAAGTACCCCAGATGTAGACAGGGAAACAGAGAGGTCCCTGCGCTTGGTGCCTTCCAGCACCAGGTGAAGGAGATGCGGCTGCTGGGCAGGGGAAGGCTAGAGCCCATCCTCACCCCAACCCGGGGATCCTGGGCACGGGGGCCCAGAGCCTGTGTCCACGTGTGTGCAGTGGAAGTGACATCCTCATGGGGTTGCGGTGGGACAGGGCCTGGCATGAACACAAGGCCCTTTTGATGATGTAGTCAATCACGTGACCAGAAGTAACACCCGAAAGCCGGAGTGGTGACTGACACTTGCAGGCCTGGTCTTACTCTTCCTTCTAGAATCTTGCACGGGAGCCATCGCTGCTCAGTTTCTGGTGCGAAGTCAGGCGGTGAGACGCGGGATAGCGGGCTCTGAGACCAGGTTTCCTCTGAGGGGCAGCCGGAAGCAAGTGGCAGAAGTGTGTGTGTAGCCTGGCACCCCCTGCTGGTCCTTCTTCTGCTCCCACTAAGGCGAGCACCTTGGGGACCAGCAGGCCCGAACGTCCCTAAGACAGGACAGCAGGCTGAGGAAATCGCACGAAGGAGCCCTGGAGGGTTGACTGGCCCTAGATTGAGGGCTCCTTGAGGGACAGTATTTCAAGCGTTCACTTCTGGCCCTAGATTGAGGGCTCCTTGAGGGACAGTATTTCAAGCGTTCACTCATTCGTTTGCCAAACATTTATTGAGCACCTACTGTGTACTGGGGACACAGTGGTGAACAAGATGTCTACTGCCTGGAGGGGGTGGGGAAGTATTTACTAACCACAGTCTTTACTGAGCCCTTGCCTGTGCTGGGTGCAGAGCTACAGGTGGGTGGCTGTCGCCTCAGGGTTGTCACAGGCTGGGGGACTGATACGCAGGTATCAGTTGAATCGAGTTGGTCCACAGTGAAAGGCAATGCTAACACTAACCCATCAGTTAGTGCTTGGTCACATGGCACCTGCTGTTTCCCAGGGCCCCACCCTTCTGCTCTGAGGAAAGCCAACTGCCTCCGAAGGTGGGTGAAGACGGGCGAGCGGGGCTTTGCCCCTTCCTCAGCTGCCGGGACTGAAGGCCATGTCCAAACCATGGCTTCGAAAGATCCCAAGTTCCGTAAGTAACCAAGGGGACCCTCGGTGGGAGGGCCGGGGCCCAGGCGTTAAGGGTGGGGCTGTGGACCATTCCTTCTTTGTAGGAGATGCCACCTGCCTGCCCCTTGACCCTGCCCCAGGATCTGGGGAGCCCCAGGCATTTCCACAGATGGCATCTCAATAATAGCTAAAATGTAAGCCACCAAGGCAGAGATCTTTGGAAGTGACTGGGCCAGTCTCCTGCTCCCCGTCAGTGTCCTGCAGGAGAAACCCTCCTGGACCAGTTACCAGGGCAACTGGTAAGTGCAGAGCCACTTTTGGGCCAAGTCTGGGCCTGAAACCAAAATGCAGAACTTGGCTGGGCCCACGCTACGGTGTCTTGCCCCTTCAGGCCATGCCTAGGGGCGAGGCCCCAACCACCCCTTCCCTGCAGCCAGCAGGAGAAAGGCACCCACCCACCTGGGACCCTTCACCTCAGGGACCCACCAGCTGGCGAGCGTGGCCCAGTCAGGCCAGTGGAACCCACTGATCTGTCGGGTACCTCTGTTCTTTGGGAGGAACCAGGGGAGGATCTCGGTACCGACGGACACACTGATGAGCCTTTACCCAGCACAGCGAGCCCACAAGCCTGCTTTGTTTAGCCAGAGACGTCCTCCATCGGACGGCCTCCGTGGGGCATGGGCCATGCTTCCCCCATCAGACTGGGGGCTTCCCAAGGAGGAAGGATCCACAGCTCTCAGCAGACTGGGTGGTGCCCGTGAACAAGAGCGATCACCCCACAGACTGGGCATTCTCCAGAAGGATTATGTCACCCCCACCAGATGAGGGATCCCCCGGGCCGGGGCTGTGATACCTCATTCTTCCCCACCCAGCTCCAGCTCAGGCCCGCGCTTGGATTCATGCTGCCAGGCCAAGCCCCCAGGTCTTCAGGCTGGGTGGGCACTGAGCCAGGTCATAGCCCCGGGTGGAGCCAGAATCTGGTTCTGAACCAGGCCCGGGCCGGAGCCAGCAGGAGCCTGGGCCCCCAGGGTACCATCCATTGGGACAAGGCCAGAGGCTCGTGGGAGGGGCTGCTCAGGACAGCGGGAAGGGAGCCTGGGCTGTCCCCAAAGGCAAGGGTGAGGCTAGATGGCACCCAGCCTGAAGTCCAGGACTGCAGCCAAGGGTGGAGGCAGGGAGGAGACTTGGAGGGCCCCCGAGCCCTGCCAGCCCTGCCACGGCCCTGTAGTTGAGGGACCCGATGTGCATCCAACATCTGCCACTCCTAGCTGGGGGGCTTTGGGCAAGTGGCCTAATTCCTCAGAGTCTGATTTCCCACCTGTATAGTGGCCACAATGAGTGTGCCTACCGCAGAGGGGATGGTGAGGACCAAATGAGGGCACAGCCCATCCCTGCACACAGCAAGTGCTCAATAAATGCCAGCTGCATGCCAGGTGACACGCAGGGCTCTGCAGGCCTGGGTCTCCCCAGACCCCAATTCCTTCCTCCTCCTCCAACCAACCCTGTCACCTGCTGTGAGCGCTGGCCCCGCCCCCGCCACCTTGTCCTCACATCAGCCCCACCTTGGAAGCAGCCCTGACTCCCACCTCTGGACCTTGGCACACCCTTCCCTTTCCCAGATGCCCTTCCCTCTCCCTCAAGATTGGGCTCCAGGAGCACTCCTCCATGAAGCCTTCCCTGGTTGAGTGCTCATTCCTACAGCACTTTGTACCTTCTGGTCAGAGTCCTTCCCATGAGAGCCCAGAAACCGTCTCCCCATCCCAGACGCCCAGCATATTGTGGTCCAGGGTGGACAGACGGGCTGAGTTTGGCAAATATTTGTGACCTCAAACTGGGCCATGGCGCCCCCTTGTGGCAGAGGCTGCAGCCCCGTGGCCAGGCTCCTTTCTCTGGGGCTGGGAGAGAAGATTCTAAAAGAAGTTCACGCTGAGGCTCAGCCTTCACCAGCACCCGGCACCACCCACCCTGATGGCTCGTGGGACCCGTTGGACCTGGGGCGGGGTGTGTGGGGGCAGGAACAGGTCAGCATGGAGGGGAGCTGGCCCTCCTGTCCTGGCCACCCACGGGGTTGTGGCCAAGAAGAAAATGAACTCCAGACGGGGTCTAGGAGACAAACTGAGGTCAGGGCACAGGAGCTAGAGCTTGGGGCTAAGCCCAGCCCTCCTCTCCAGCCTTCCCACCTGCAACACTCTCATTGGTTACCCTCTGCTCCTTCTACCATGTTACCTCCTCCAGGAAGGCCTCCCTGGTCTCTAGGGAGAGCTGGTTGTCCCTCTCCTCCAACTAAAAATTATCAGAGCTAACCTTCATTGAGCTCTTACTGCATGCCAGACTTTGGGGCTAACCTCCGTAATGACACCATTTTATTCAATCCTCAGAAGAACGTATGAAGCAGCAACACTGTTAACCCATTGCACAGATGAGTAACAGAGGCACAGAAAAGCTAAGATGCAGAACCAAGATCGGAACCTTAACTGTTCTGCTTCATGCTGAACGCCGTGGTGCAGGGACCCTGTTGGAGTGTCATTCTCGCTGCTGTGTCCCCACTGCCAGGTGTGGAGCCTGTCACACAGAAGCAGGTTGAAGAAACCAGGGGCCCGAGAGGCCAGGCAGAGGCAGCCAGCCATCCCAGCCCCTTCCTGCTTGGCTCCCCCACACCCTGGACCTGTAGGAAGGACCCCTTCCCCATCCAACACTGTTCCCAGAGCAGCCCGGACCCCGCCGGCACCCCAGGGAAGGGACGAGAACAGGCATTTACTAGGACAGTCCTGGCCGCACCAGGCGGAGCGGGGCCCTCCCCGGGGCTGAGCGGGCAGAGTGAGGTAGGTGAGCCAAGGGCGGCCGTTCTGTCCCCCGAGAGGCGAGGTCTCGGCGGCAGCCCCTGCATTAGGCTCCCAGGGACAGATGCTCAGACCCTGAGAGGCGAGTCCCCAGAGAGGGTCGTCCTGCTCCAGGAAGAGGCAATCAGTCAGGGCTTCTCGAAGAGGCAGCTCCAAGCTTTCGGAGGTGTTGCGGGGAGGGGCTGGGCTGGACTTCTAGGCCCCCTGGCTTCCTCCACAGCTCAGTCCAAGGGCACCATCACTGCCCAGACTTCTCCCTTCCTGAGTGTGGCATCTGGAGGTCCCTGTCATCCTGGGCTGGGCCTGGGTCCTGGTCAGCTGGGGAGGAGTGACTGGCGCTCTGAGGAGGTGGCCACATCCCGGTACAGCAGGAACTGTATGGAGATCTGGACGGGTCGATGTCAAGGCCGAACAGAGCAGACTGGGTCAGACTTGCCCCTGCGTGGCCGGTGGTTCCATCTGAAGCCACTTCCCTCCTCCCTTCCTCTGTCCCCAACTCTGCCAGGTTGGGAAGGTCAGCCACGGCCTCCCAGCTGCTGCTCTCGCCGCCTCCCGAACCCTCGACCCCAGCCGAACCCCATTCATCCACCAAGTCCAGCACCGGGGTCTTCCTCCCTCGGGCATCCTTCCCTGACCCCGGCCCCAGGATCTTGCCTGCCTTCCACCCTACAGTGTCCCAGTGGTTCACTAAGTGGCGCTAGAACTTGACTTTTCTTTATGTCTCCTTGCACCCAACAGGGAGTCAGCAAATGTCGAACTATAGCCATGTTTACTTTCTCCTGAAGGAGATCCAAATATTGCCCTGCTCAGACACCCAGCCAAGACTGAGCACTCACTGAGCACTCACTGTGTGCTGGGTTGGGCGCTGAGTGTTTCCTGAGACTTTATCTTGTGTAATTGCCCCATTATCTTGGTGAGACAGTGGGACAAAGATATGGAAGCACAGAGAGGCTAATGGTTGGCCCTGTGTCACACAGCTAGGACGCAGGAGAGTCAGGATCTGAGCCCAAGTTTTTCTGTCTCTAACTCATGTGTGTCTCCATGTTCCAGCTTTCCTTCCTCTGGCCTCCATGGGCTGATTTATGCCCTGTTCCCCAGGGCCTTTGCACAAGCTGTGTCTGGAACATCCCTCCCTTGCTTTGCCTAACTTCTTTTCCTTCACGGTACAATTTAAATGGCATGTGTAGGAGGAAGGGTATAGCTCAGTGGTAGAGTGCATGCTTAGCATGCATGAGGTACTGGGTTCAATCTCTGGTAACTCCATTAAAAATAAATAAAAAAAATAAAAAACCCTAATTACCACGCTCCCCAAAAAAGAGTAAATAAATAAATGGCATCCGTGGAGGCCTCTGCTGAGCCTCTAAACCAGGACAGCCCCCGGTTCACCTACACTTGCAGTTTTTCTCTGCGGCAGTTGGTGGATCCCTGTGAAGTAATTATGATTACGTGTGTCTGCTCAGCCTCCCAATGAGCTGTGAGCTTCCAAAGGCAAGGGTCATTTTGTTGTTGCTCACTACTTGCTTTGGTGCCTAGCAGGGTGCCCAGCACACAGGAGGTTTGACTCTTTATGGGTGGATGGAAGGATGGCCAGATGCTGAAGCTATGTGCAGGCAGAGGCTGCCGCAACCATGCTGGCCCCACCAGCCCTCGTGCCATGAAGGATACGACGGTGTCGAGCAGCAGGACGCCCAGGCTGCCCACGAGCCAGGGCAGGTGGTGCAGCAGGTAGCTGCCCTCGCTCTGGCCCACCTCGGGGTTCTTGAGCAGCACGCTCAGCCCGTACAGCGTGTTCCCCAGCATCACCAGGGCGAACAGCGAGTAGGAGATCCCCTGGGTCGACTTCCGAAGGAACTAGAGAGGGTGGGGGTTAGAGACCTCACACGGGGCTCTCGGCTCTCTGGACTGTAACTGTCCACGTGTCCATCTGCCCTGTCACACTGCACATGCTCTGGGCCAATTTCACAGTGTGACCGGTGTCTGCCATGGGCCAGGCGCCCAGACCAGCCCCTTCCAGGGCCTGACTCCTCATCTTCACTCCAACACCCTCTCCAGGGCCCCCTGCCCTATCCTACCCAGGTGGGTAGAAGACCATGGCTGCACCACCCTGCCGGCCCCGAGGTGCCCTCTCCCTGCCCCACGCCCATCCCTGACCCCGCACCTTCACCTCTACTCTCAGCCCCTTGCTCTCACCTGACCTCCTACCTCCTTGGGACACATGTGTCAAATGTATCCCTGGATGGCAGGCATCCCATTTCCAGAGGCAGAAACTGAGGCTTGGAGAACCGGATTAAGCTGCGCAAGCCAACAGTGGGTGTGGACAAGACCTTCTGTGCCCACGTGCTACTCCTTAACCCAGGGGCCCAAGTGGCCAGCCCACTGCCCCTGCCCACGGCTCACGTTGGTGCGGATCTGAGGCAGCCGGGAGAACAGGTACAGCACGCTGGAGATGGAGCCGATGACAAAGCCGATGACCTCTTGCTTTGTGAAGGGCTGAGAGGGCAGAAAAGGATGCTCAGTGCCCAGGAGGGGCCAGGGTGCAGGGTGAGAGCCCCGAGCTCCCTCCTAGAGGGTAGTTCCGTCGCTCCCGTGGCTGTACAGGGGAGGGCCTTCAGGACAAGCCGGACCCGCACCCCCACTCTACCACCACGTACCCACACCTCACCTTATTGCCCGGTTCCACGGACAGGAGCGTCCGTCCCCGGAAGACCTCTCTCGGGGCAGCCACAGAGCTGGTGCTGCTCAGCAGTGGGGTGGCACAAGCCACCCCCAAGATGAACAAGAGCACAGAATTGATGGGGGCAGACCCTGTACACAAGGCAGGAGGGAAGCTGAGGTTAGGCATCCAAGTGGCAGCAGACAGACTGGGCTTTGAGTCCTCAGTGGCTGTGTGACTTTGGGCAAGTGACCCAATGTCTCTGAGCTTTCATTCCTCATCTGTAAAATGGGTATAACCACAGTACCCATCTTCCAGAGTTGTAAAGGTGAACTGATGGGGGCAGTGGGAGCAGGAGGGTGGTTATCAGGCATGGAAATGCTAATGAAGACAGACCCAACCCCATGTGCTGGGGTTTCCTGTGCAGCCCTGGCTCTGACCCCTTCTGAAATCTGAAGGGCAGAGATGGCCTGTGTGCCTTGTCCTTGTTTCCCCAGCACAGAGAAGCAGCTGCAGCGTGTTCAGTGACTGAGAACCTCAGTGAAGGGCACCCTGTGGTCCCGCCCAGATCTGCTCATCACCCTCTATCTTGGCTGATCAGCCGATCAGGGCTCAGGCTTTCAGATAAGGCCTTTCCGAGGTTTGGGTTATCACCAACAATGGGAAACCTGCTTCCTCTCAAGCTCCCAGGCCTCCTGACTGCCCCAAAGTGCCTGAACACAGAAGGACCAATGTACTCACACTGAGAGGGGCGTTTCTTGAACTTGTAATGGAAGTACAGGGACAGCATCAGCAGGTCGGCCAGGACATAATACATGGCTGTGTAGGTCTGCAAGAGACGCGGGGGGCGCAGGGCGCTGGCGGCAGGCCCAGGCCGCGGGGACCGCGGCCCAGCACCGGGGCCCCCCACCGCCCTCGGTGGACCCTCGACCAAGACGGCGTCCACCTCCTCGGAACCGTTACCTCGTTCCTTACTTCGT